TGAGAGACATCCCTATGGGGTGAGGGATACCCCTATGGGGTGACTGGGAGCCTATGGGGTGGGGGATACCACTGTGGGGTGAGGGAGAGCCCTATGGGGTGACTGGGAGCCTATGGGGTGAGGGAGACCCCTAGGGGGTGACTGAGAGCCTGCGATGGGGCGGAGACCTGGGGTGACTGGGAGCCTATGGGGGGGAGACCCCTATGGGGGTGACTGAGAGCCCTAGGGGGTGACTGGGAGCCTATGGGGGGGATACCCCTAGGGGGTGACAGGGAGCCTGAGATGGGGCGGAGACCTGGGGTGACTGGGAGCCTATGGGGGGGGAGACCCCTAGGGGGTGACTGGGAGCCTATGGGGTGACTGGGAGCCTATGGGGGGGGATACCCCTAGGGGGTGACTGAGAGCCTGAGATGGGGCGGAGACCTGGGGTGACTGGGAGCCTATGGGGTGACTGAGAGCCTATGGGGTGACTGAGAGCCCTAGGGGGTGACTGGGAGCCTATGGGGTGAGGGAGAGACCTAGGGGGTGACTGAGAGCCCTAGGGGGTGACTGAGAGCCTGCGATGGGGCAGAGACCTGGGGGTGACTGGGAGCCCTAGGGGGTGACTGAGAGCCTATGGGGTGACTGGGAGCCTATGGGGGGGGATACCCCTAGGGGGTGACTGAGAGCCTGAGATGGGGCAGAGACCTGGGGTGACTGGGAGCCTATGGGTTGACTGAGAGCCTATGGGGTGAGGGAGACCCCTATGGGGTGACTGGGAGCCTGCAATGGGGCGGAGACCTGGGGGTGACTGAGAGCCTGGGGGGTGACTGGGAGCCCTAGGGGGTGACTGGGAGCCTATGGGGTGGGGGATACCACTGTGGGGTGAGGGATAACCCTATGGGGTGACTGGGAGGCTATGGGGTGCAGGAGAGCCCTAGGGGTGACTGGGAGCCTGCGAGGGGGGGGAGAGCCCTAGGGTGACTGGGAGCCTATGGGGTGAGGGATACCCCTATGGGGTGACTGGGAGCCTATGAGGTGAGGGATAACCCTGTGGGGTGAAGGAGACCCCTATGGGGTGACTGAGAGCCTATGAGGTGAGGGATACCCCATGGGGTGACTGGGAGCCTATGGGGTGAGAGACATCCCTATGGGGTGAGGGATACCCCTATGGGGTGAGGAACAACCCTATGGGGGTGAGGGATACCGCTGTGGGGTGAGGGAGACCCCTATGGGGTGACTGGGAGCCTATGGGGTGAGGGACATCCCTATAGGATGAGAGGAGCCCATTGAGGTGATGGGAGCCCTATGGGGGGACTGAGGCCCCTATGGGGTGAAGGACTGGAATATAATGGGATACACTGGGCTATACTGGGCCATAGTGGGCTATACGGGGCCATACTGGGGCCATACTGGGTTATACTGGGGCCATACTGCGTTATACTGGGTTACACTAGTCCATACTGGGCCATACTGGGCTACAATGGGCCATACTGGGTTATACTGGGTTATACTGGGTTACACTGGGTTATACTGGTCCATACTGGGCCATACTGGGTTATACTGGGGCCATACTGGGTTATACTGGTCCATACTGGGTTATACTGGGTTATATTGGTCCATACTGGGCCATACTGGGCTACACTGGGCCATACTGGGTTATACTGGGTTATATTGGTCCATACTGGTCCATACTGGGTTATACTGGGGCTATACTGGGTTACACTGGGTTATACAGGTCCATACTGGTCCATACTGGGCCATACTGGGTTACACTGGGTTATACAGGTCCATACTGGGCCATACTGGGCCATACTGGGTTATACTGGGTTATACTGGGTTATACTGGGTTATACTGGTCCATACTGGGTTATACTGGGGCCATACTGGGTTACACTGGGTTATACTGGTCCATACTGGGCCATACTGGTGGCGCTGGGACCCACCGGGTGTCGGAGAACTCGAGGCTGCTGACGTTGAGGACGCGGTCGCGCCGGGGCCCCCCCAGGTAGGAGACGAAGTCCCCCAGGCGCATGCGGCACGGGGCCTGGCGCCCCACATCCAGCACCTCGATGACCCTCTCAGCGCCTGTGGGGCAGCGAGGAGCCCAGGGAGCCCCATGGCGGGGGGCACGGGGAGCCCCCACCCCCCTGAGCCCATACGGAGCCCCAGGGACCAGTAACAGGGACCCCAAACCCCTGAACCCCTATAGACCAATAACAGGGACCCCAAACCCCTGAACCCCCATAGACCAATAACAGGGACCCCAAACCCCTGAACCCCTATAGACCAATAACAGGGACCCCAAACCCCTGAACCCCCATAGACCAATAACAGGGACCCCAAACCCCCCTGAACCCCTATAGACCAATAACAGGGACCCCAAACCCCTGAACCCCCATAGACCAATAACAGGGACCCCAAACCCCTGAACCCCCATAGACCAATAACAGGGACCCCAAACCCCTGAACCCCCATAGACTGATAACAGGGACCCCAAACCCCTGAACCCCTATAGACCAGTAACAGGGACCCCAAACCCCTGAACCCCCTCTGAACCCCCACAGACCGATAACAGGGACCCCAAACCCCTCTGAACCCCCTCTGAACCCCCATAGACCAGTAACAGGGACCCCAAACCCCTGAACCCCCATAGACCGATAACAGGGACCCCAAACCCCCCTGAACCCCTATAGACCAATAACAGGGACCCCAAACCCCTCTGAACCCCTATAGACCGATAACAGGGACCCCAAACCCCTGAACCCCCATAGACCAGTAACAGGGACCCCAAACCCCTGAACCCCCATAGACCAGTAACAGGGACCCCAAACCCCTGAACCCCCATAGACCAGTAACAGGGACCCCAAACCCCTCTGAACCCCTATAGACCCCCATAGACCGATAACAGGGACCCCAAACCCTCTGAACCCCCATAGACCAATAACAGGGACCCCAAACCCCTCTGAACCCCCATAGACCAGTAACAGGGACCCCAAACCCCTGAACCCCCCATAGGGACCCCAACCCCTAACAGACCAATAACAGGGACCCCAAACCCCTCTGAACCCCCATAGACCAATAACAGGGACCCCAAACCCCTGAACCCCTATAGACCGATAACAGGGACCCCAAACCCCTGAACCCCCATAGACCAATAACAGGACCCCAAACCCCTGAACCCCCATAGACCAATAACAGGGACCCCAAACCCCTGAACCCCCATAGACCAATAACAGGGACCCCAAACCCCTGAACCCCCATAGACCGATAACAGGGACCCCAAACCCCTGAACCCCTATAGACCAATAACAGGGACCCCAAACCCCTGAACCCCTATAGACCAATAACAGGGACCCCAAACCCCTCTGAACCCCCATAGGCCAATAACAGGGACCCCAAACCCCTGAACCCCCTGAACCCCCAGAGACCCCTCTGAACCCCTATAGACTGATAACAGGGACCCCAAACCCCTCTGAACCCCTAGAGACTGATAACAGGGACCCCAAACCCCAATAGACCCCTATAGACCCCCATAGACCGATAACAGGGACCCCAAACCCCTCTGAACCCCTATAGACTGATAACAGGGACCCCAAACCCCTGAACCCCTAGAGACTGATAACAAGGACCCCAAACCCCCCTGAACCCCTATAGATCCCCCACAGACCAATAACAGGGACCCCCAAACCCCTCTGAACCCCCATAGACCGATAACAGGGACCCCAAACCCCAATAGACCCCTAGAGACCCCCAGAGACCAATAACAGGGACCCCAAACCCCTCTGAACCCCTATAGACCAAGATAGACTGGTCATGGGGACCCCAAACCCCTCTGAACCCCTATAGGCAAGTCACAGGGACCCCCCCAAACCTTCATGAACCCCTATAGACCCCTACAGACCGCTAACAGGGACCCCCACCCACCCCCTATAGACCCATATGGAGCAGCCATGGGATCCCAAACCCCTATAGACCCCTATGGAGCAATGACGGGGACACCCCAAGCCCCCTGAACCCCTTATAGAACCCCCATAGACTGATCCCAAGGGACCCCCACCCACCCCCTATAGACCCGTATGGAGCATCCATGGGGACCCCAAACCCCTACAGACCCCTATGGAGCAGTCACAGGGACACCCCAAGCCCCCTGAACCCCTTATAGAACCCCCATAGACTGATCCCAAGGGACCCCCACCCACCCCCTATAGACCCGTATGGAGCATCCATGGGGACCCCAAACTCCTATAGACCCCTATAGAAACCTATGGAGCAGTCATGGGGACCCCAAACCCCCTCAAACCCCTACAGACCCCTATGGAGCAGTCACAGGGACCCCCCAAGCCCCCTGAACCCCTTATAGAACCCCCATAGACTGACCCCAAGGGACCCCCACCCACCCCCTATAGACCCCTATGGAGCAGCCATGGGGATCCCAAACCCCTACAGACCCCTATGGAGCAGTCACAGGGACCCCCCAAGCCCCCTGAACCCCTTATAGAACCCCCATAGACTGATCCCAAGGGACCCCCACCCACCCCCTATAGACCCTATAGGCCCCCCCCACACTCACCCACGTAGTGCTCGACGTCGCGGGGGGTGAAGGTGGGGGGGGGTAGCGTCATCCCCAGCCCCTCCTTGCGAGCCACCAGGATGGGGACGCTGAAAGTCTTCTCCTCCAGGTACTCGACCGTGAGCTGCGCCCCACTGGGCCGGAGCAGGACCTCGTCGGCGCTGGGACACGGAGCACGGGTCAGTACGGGCACCTATAGACCCTATAGGGGCTGCGGGGGGGGGGCTAGAGAGGGTTGAGGAGCTCCTAGGGGGGCTACGATGGGTTTGGAGATGGTTGAGGAGCTCCTATGGGGGTTACAATGGGTTTGGAGATGGTTGAGGAGCTCCTATGGGGGCTACAATGGCTTTGGAGATGGTTGAGGAGCTCCTATGGGGGTTACAATGGGTTTGGAGATGGTTGAGGAGCTCCTATGGGGGCTACGATGGGTTTGGAGATGGTTGAGGAGCTCCTATAGGGGTTACGATGGGTTTGGAGATGGTTGAGGAGCTCCTATAGGTGCTACGATGGGTTTGGAGATGGTTGAGGAGCTCCTACAGGTGCTACGATGGGTTTGGAGATGGTTGAGGAGCTCCTATAGGTGCTACGATGGGTTTGGAGATGGTTGAGGAGCTCCTATAGGTGCTACGATGGGTTTGGAGATGGTTGAGGAGCTCCTATAGGTGCTACGATGGGTTTGGAGATGGTTGAGGAGATCCTATAGGTGCTACGATGGGTTTGGAGATGGTTGAGGAGCTCCTATGGGGGTTACAATGGGTTTGGAGATGGTTGAGGAGCTCCTATGGGGGTTACAATGGGTTTGGAGATGGTTGAGGAGCTCCTATGGGGGCTACGATGGGTTTGGAGATGGTTGAGGAGCTCCTATGGGGGTTACAATGGGTTTAAAGGGGGTTGAGGAGCTCCTATGGGGGCTACAATGGGTTTGGAGATGGTTGAGGAGCTCCTATGGGGGTTACAATGGGTTTGGAGATGGTTGAGGAGCTCCTATAGGTGCTACGATGAGTTTAAAGGGGGTTGAGGAGCTCCTACGGGTGCTACAACGGGTTTGGAGATGGTTGAGGAGCTCCTATAGGTCCTACAATGGCTTTGAAGATGGTTGAGAAGTTCCTATAGGTCCTACAATGATTTTAAAGCTGGCTGAGTAGCTCCTATAGGTTCTACAGTGGCTTTAAAGGTGGTTGAGAAGCTCCTACAGGTGCTACAATGGGTTTAAAGGGGGTTGAGGAGCTCCTATGGGTGCTACAATGGATTTGGAGATGGTTGAGAAGCTCCTATAGGTGCTACGATGGGTTTGGAGACGGTTGAGAAGCTCCTATAGGTCCTACAATGGGTTTGGAAGTGGTTGGGGCTCCCAAATGGCTGACCCAGGCCCTATAGATCCTATAAGAACCATCTCAAGATGCTTGTGGAGCTCCTACCAGCCCCATAGAGCCTCTGGAGGGCTCCTACAGCAGCGCGATGGCTCCTATAGGTCCTCCAGTGGCTCAATGTGGCTCCTATGGGGGGACGCAGCCGGTTCCTATAGGGCCCGGCTCCTATAGGGCCCGGTTCCCATAGGGCCCCTCACCTGGGGAAGGTCCGGCCCCGCAACTCCCGGATGAACTGAGCGCTCCCGGTGCGGACCGGGCGCGGCGGCTCCGGCTCCGCGGGCTTCGGAGGGCCCCGGCGCCGCTTCACTGCCGAGAGAGGGAGGGAGGGATCCGTGGGGAGGGATCCGTGGGGAGGGATCCGTGGGGAGCAGGGAGGGAACCATGGGGAGGGATCCATGGGGAGGGATCCATGGGGAGCAGGGAGGGATCCACGGGGAGGGATCCGTGGGGAGGGATCCGTGGGGAGGGATCCGTGGGGAGGGATCCATGGGGAGCAGGGAGGGATCCGTGGGGAGGGATCCGTGGGGAGGGAACCGTGGGGAGGGATCCATGGGGAGGGATCCATGGGGAGAGATCCATGGGGAGAGATCCATGGGGAGAGATCCATGGGGAGCAGGGAGGGATCCGTGGGGAGCAGGGAGGGATCCGTGGGGAGGGATCCGTGGGGAGCGGGGAGGGATCCGTGGGGAGCAGGGAGGGATCCGTGGGGAGGGATCCGTGGGGAAGGATCCATGGGGAGGGATCCATGGGGAGGGATCCATGGGGAGCAGGGAGGGATCCATGGGGAGGGATCCGGGGGGAGGGATCCGGGGGGAGGGATCCGGGGGGAGCAGGGAGGGATCCACGGGGAGGGATCCGTGGGGAGGGATCTGTGGGGAGGGATCCATAGGGAGCAGGGAGGGATCCATAGGGAGCAGGGAGGGATCCATAGGGAGCAGGGAGGGATGGATCCGCATGGATCCAGCACGCATGGAGCCACGTGGACCTGGCACATCTGGATCCATACAAATCAGGGATGGATGGATCCATATGGATCCAGCACACATGGACCAGACATGGATGGAGCCATATGAACCTGGCACATCTGGATCCATACAGATCAGGGATGGATGGATCCATATGGATCCAGCACACATGGACCAGACATGGATGGAGCCATATGGACCTGGCACATCTGGATCCATACAGATCAGGGATGGATGGATCCAGCACACATGGAGCCACATGGACCAGACATGGATGGAGCCACACAGAACTGACACATCTGGATCCAAACAGATCAGGGATGGATGGATCCGCATGGATCCAGCAGACATGGACCAGACATGGACCTGGCACATCTGGATCCATACAGATCAGGGATGGATGGATCCATATGGATCCAGCACACACACGGACCTGGCACATCTGGATCCATACAGATCAGGGATGGATGGATCCATATGGATCCAGCACACACACGGACCTGGCACATCTGGATCCATACAGATCAGGGATGGATGGATCCGTATGGATCCAGCACACACACGGACCTGGCACATCTGGATCCATACAGATCAGGGATGGATGGATCCATATGGATCCAGCACGCACACGGACCTGGCACATCTGGATCCATGCAAATCAGGGATGGATATATCCGTATGGATCCAGCACACACACGGACCTGGCACATCTGGATCCATACAGATCAGGGATGGATAGATCCATATGGATCCAGCACGCATGGAGCCACATGGCCCAGGGGCAGACTGATCCATATGGACCAAGCACACATGGATCCATAGGGACTGGGCATGGACCACACTTCCCCAGCCCCATACGGCCCTATAGGGCCCACACCCAGTCCCCCCTGCCTCAGACCTGACCCCATAGGGCCCCTACAGGACCCAGCTCCTGCCCTGTATGGCACAGACCCAGCCCTATAGGGGAAAAGGAGCCCAGGGGGACGCCCCCACCCATAGGAGCTCCCCCCATAGGGCCTCCCCCTGCCCCATAGGCACTCACTGACGGAGGGGCCGTGCAGGACCTCGCACTTGGGGCAATGGTAAAGGTCGATGTCGGCCGCTGCCTCCTCCTCCACCCCCACGCAGCTGCAGGGACCAGCTCAGGATCATCCCAATGCACCCCAATAACCCCCCAGTGCATCCCAATGCACCCCAATAACTCCCCAGTGCATCCCAATGCACCCCAATAACCCCCCAGTGCATCCCAGTGCACCCCAATAACCCCCCAGTGCATCCCAATGCACCCCAATAACCCCCCAGTGCATCCCAATGCACCCCAATAACCCCTCAGTGCATCCCAGTGCACCCCAATAACCCCCCAGTGCATCCCAATGCACCCCAATAACCCCCCAGTGCATCCCAGTGCACCCCAATAACCCCCCAGTGCATCCCAGTGCACCCCAATAACTCCCCAGTGCATCCCAATGCACCCCAATAAACCCCAGTGCACCCCAATAACCCCCCAGTGCACCCCAATAACCCCCCAGTGCAACCCAATAACCCCCAGTGCATCCCAATAACCCCCCAGTGCACCCCAGTGCATCCCAGTGCACCCCAATAACCCCCAGTGCATCCCAATAACCCCCCAGTGCACCCCAGTGCATCCCAGTGCACCCCAACAACCCCCCAGTGCATCCCAATGCACCCCAATAACCCCCCAGTGCATCCCAATGCACCCCAATAACCCCCCAGTGCACCCCAATAACCCCCCAGTGCATCCCAACAACCCCCCAGTGCATCCCAATGCACCCCAATAACCCCCCAGTGCACCCCAATAACCCCCCAGTGCATCCCAGTGCACCCCAATAAACCCCCAGTGCCTCCCAATCCATCCCAGTACCGTCCCATGCCCCACCTGCCATGGAACCAGTCCTGGCACCCATCGCACTCGATCATGAAGCGGGTGACGTCGTAGGGCAGGCGGCACAGGCAGTACACGGGCACCGAGGCCATGGCCCCCTATAGCCCCCTATAGGCCCCTATGGCCCCCTATAGCCCCCTATGGCCCCCTATAGCCCCCTATAGGCCCCTAGGGGCCCCCCTATAGACCCCTATGGCCCCCTATAGACCCCTGTGGCCCCCTATAGACCCCTGTGGCCCCCTATAGACCCCTGCGGCCCCCCTATAGACCCCTATGGCCCCCTATAGACCCCAATAGACCCTTATAGACCCCTATGCCCCCCCCACCCCAGGACATGACCCCCCCCTCCCCTTCTACACGTGACCCCCTTTACCCCCTCGGGGGGGGCTCTTAAAGCTCCCTATAGGGCCTTTAAGGCCTCCCCCCCCCCAAAACTATAGGGTCTTAGAGCACCCCCCAAGGGGTCCACAGGCCTCTGTGCTCCCTATAGACACCCCCAAAAGGCTAACCCCCCCCCCACGGGGGCTCTCCCCCCACACTTTTAACCCCCTATAGGGCCTATAGGGCCCGCGGCTCCGCTCCGAGGCCTTCCCCCGCCTCAGAGGCCCACAGGGCCCCGCGCGGCCTCCACCTCCCGCCTCAGGCCTTAGGCCGCAGGCCTCGTCCCGTGTCCCCCCCCCCACCCCGCCCCAGCGCTGCTCCACCGCCGCCTCCCCGTTACCGCCTCCCGTTCCCGGCCCGGGCCTCGCCTCCGCCACGGCTCGGGCCCGGCTCCGGCCGCCCGGGAAAGTTGGATTCAAACGCGGAAACGGAGGGGAGGGGGGAAAACGGAGGGGGAAAAGGCGGAGCCGCCGGCGCCGCCATCTTGACCGCTCCGCGCCGCCATCTTGGAAAGGGCGCCGCCATCTTGGGGAGGGCGCGCGGCTGCCCTTCCCGCCGTGCGCGGTGCATTGTGGGAGCCGCCATCTTGGGAGTGGCGCCCCCCCTCTCCCCCCCCCCCATTGACCACGCTTCATTCGCTCGCTTTTTTTGGGGCGTTTTGATGCTTTATAACCATTTCCCCCCCAAAATAGTACACTCGAAACACACCCCTCAGGACCAAGAAACCCAGGAATTCACCCCAAAACGGCGCTGGCTGCTGAAAGGGTGATGGAAATGGGGGGGAAACGCAGTGAAATAGGCCCAAAATGGGGGAGGGGAAAGGGGATAAAGAGGGGGGAGGGGTGGCGGGACCAGTATGGGGGGGGTGGGGCACCAGTAAAACCAGTCTGCCCAGTTCCCCATTGCCACGGGAAGTCCCAGGCCTTTGGTGGGGTTTTGGGTGAAAAAACGGTGGTTTTGGGATGAAAACCGGTGGTTTTGTGGTGAAAAATGATGGGTTTGAGGCTCTGGGTATTTTGGGGGTGAAAAGCAGGGATTTTGGGGTGAAATGAGGCTGGTTTGGGGTTCAAAACTGGGTTTGCGTCGTGGGGGGGGGGACAAAGGGGCTTAGGCCGCGAAATGGGGTTTTGGGGTGAAATGAGGCAAATTTGGGGCTTGAAGTGAGGTCCTGCCAAGGGGAGGCCAAAAAGGGGGGGTTTGAGGTGAAAAGAGGAGATTTTGGGTCTGCAAAGTGGGGAAAGGCGTAAAATGAGGGCCAGGCCCCAAATGAGGGGAGGTTTGGGGTGAAAAAAGGGGGGTTTGGGTCTGGAAAGTGGGGGTTGGGGGGGGAGGGGAAAAGGGGGGAATGGCTCAAAAAAAGGGGGGGGTTTGGGGTAAAATGAGGCGATTTTGGGGCTGAACATTGGGGGTTACAGATGGGGGGGTCTAATCCCCCCCAAAAGTGGATTTTGGGGCAAAAAGAGGCGATTTGGGGGCTGAAAATTGGGGGTTAACCAATGGGGGTCAAAACAAGGGGGTTTTGGGGAGAAATGAGGGGATTTTGGGGTAAAATGAGAAAGTTTTGAGGTAAAATGGGGGCAGTTTGGGGTAAAATGGGGATTTGGGGGTAAAATGAGGGGGATTGGGGTGAAATGAGGGGATTTTGGGGTGAAATGAGAGGATTTTGGGGTGAAATGAGGGGTTTGGGGTGAAATGAGGTTTTGGGTTAAAATGAGGGGTTTGGGGGTGAAATGAGGTGATTTATGGGGTGAAATGAGCAGATTTTGGGGTGAAATGAGGGGGTTTTGGGGTAAAATGAGGGGTTTTGGGGTGAAATGAGGGGATTTGGGGGTGAAATGAGAGGATTTTGGGGTGAAATGAGGGGATTTTGGTGTAAAATGAGAAGGTTTTCAGGTAAAATGGGGGGGTTGGGGTAAAATGAAGGGGGTTGGTGTGAAATGAGGGGGGGTGGGGACAAAATGAGGGGATTTTGGTGTAAAATGAGGAGGTTTTGGGGTGGAACGAGGGGATTTTGGGGTAAAAAGAGGAGGTTTTGGGGCTCCAAGGGGGGCCTCCCCCTCACTCAGCCCCTGGTGGGATGGGGTTGCCGCCCCCTCCCCCCCCCCGGAGCCTGCTTTTGGGGGGGGGCGGGGGGACCCCTCCCCATTTTGGGGGGGGCCCTCGGGTGCTCCACGATGAGGTCCCCTAGGGGATAATGGGGGGGTCAAGGTCAGATATTGGGGACCCCCTCTTATATGGGGGTGTGGGGGGGGGCAAGGTCAGATATTGGGGACCCCCCCTTATATTGGGGACCCCCCTTTATATTGGGGACCCCCCTTTATATTGGGGTCCCCCCTTTATATCGGGGACCCCCCCTTTATATTGGGGACCCCCCCTTATATTGGGGTGTTGGGGGGGTCAAGGTCAGATATTGGGGACCCCCCTTACATGGGGGTGCTGGGGGGGTTCAAGGTCAGATATTGGGGACCCCCCTTATATGGGGGTGCTGGGGGGGTCAAGGTCAGATATTGGGGACCCCCCCTTATATGGGGGTGTTGGGGGGGTCAAGGTCAGATATTGGGGACCCCCCTTACATGGGGGTGCTGGGGGGGGCCCGTACCTGCCCCCGGGCCGTGTCCTGCACCCACTCATCCACCAGGCGGCGGAGGTCGTCCGTGAACAGCCCCTGCTTGGGGGGGGCCGGGGGGGGCGTGGGGGGGGGCAGAGGGGTTGGGGGGGGGGGGGGCTGGGGGGGGGGGATTGGGTTTAATGGGGAGCCCCGAGTCCCGTCTGCACCCAAAACTTCCCCTTTATAACCCAAATCCCCCCCTTTATAACCCAAATCCTCCCCTTTTATAACCCCAAATCCTCCCCTTTATAACCCCAAATCCCCCCCTTTATAACCCAAATCCCCCCTTTATAACCCAAATCCCCCCCTTTATACCCCAAATCCCCCCTTTATAACCCAAATCCCCCCCTTTTATAACCCAAATCCCCCCCTTTATAACCCAAATCCTCCCTTTTATAACCCAAATCCCCCCCTTTATACCCCAAATGCCCCCTTTATAACCCAAATCCCCCCCTTTATAACCCAAATCCCCCCCTTTATAACCCAAATCCCCCCCTTTATAACCCCAAATCCCCCCCTTTATAACCCAAATCCTCCCCTTTATAACCCCAAATCCCCCCTTTATAACCCAAATCCCCCCTTTATAACCCCAAATCCCCCCCTTTATAACCCAAATCCCCCCCTTTATAACCCCAAATCCCCCCTTTATAACCCAAATCCCCCCCTTTATAACCCAAATCCCCCCCTTTATAACCCAAATCCCCCCTTTATAACCCAAATCCTCCCCTTTATAACCCAAATCCCCCCCTTTATAACCCAAATCCCCCCCTTTATAACCCAAATCCCCCCTTTATACCCCAAATCCCCCCTTTATAACCCCAAATCCTCCCCTTTATAACCCAAATCCCCCCTTTATAACCCGAAATCCCCCCCTTTATACCCCAAATCCCCCCTTTATAACCCCAAATCCCCCCCTTTATAACCCAAATCCCCCCCTTTATAACCCCAAATCCCCCCTTTATAACCCAAATCCTCCCCTTTATAACCCCAAATCCTCCCCTTTATAACCCCAAATTCCCCCTTTATAACCCAAATCCTCCCTTTTATAACCCAAATCCCCCCCTTTATAACCCAAATCCTCCCCTTTATAACCCCAAATCCTCCCCTTTATAACCCCAAATCCCCCCCTTTCCACCCCAAATCCCCCCCTTTATAACCCCAAATCCCCCCCTTTCCACCCCAAATCCCCCCTTTATAACCCCAAATCCCCCCTTTATAACCCAAATCCCCCCCTTTATAACCCCAAATCCCCCCTTTATAACCCCAAATCCCCCCCTTTCCACCCCAAATCCCCCCCTTTATAACCCCAAATCCCCCCTTCCACCCCAAATCCCCCCTTTATAACCCCAAATCCCCCCTTTATAACCCAAATCCCCCCCTTTATAACCCCAAATCCCCCCTTTATAACCCCAAATCCCCCCCTTTCCACCCCAAATCCCCCCCTTTATAACCCCAAATCCCCCCCTTTCCACCCCAAATCCCCCCTTTATAACCCCAAATCCCCCCTTTATAACCCAAATCCCCCCCTTTATAACCCCAAATCCCCCCTTTCCACCCCAAATCCCCCCCTTTCCACCCCAAATCCCCCCCTTTATAACCCCAAATCCCCCCCTTTCCACCCCAAATCCACCCTTTATAACCCCAAATCCCCCCCTTTCCACCCCAAATCCCCCCCTTTCCACCCCAAATCCCCCCTTTATACCCCCCCCTTCCCCCCCTTCCCCTCCCCCACCTGTGCCCCCCCTGCCCCTTCCTCTTCCCTTTGCCCCCCGCAGCCTCCGCGGGGACCCCCCGGGGCAGGGGTGGGGGAGGGGTCCCCCGGGGTCCCCCTTGGGGGGGCCCCCCCATTGCTGGGGCCCCCCCCTCGCCTCCTTGAGGGCGCGGAGCCGCTCGTGGAGCTCCTGCAGCTCCCGGTCCTGCTGCGCCCGCAGCGCCACCACCTCCTGGATGTGCCTGTGGGGCGGAGGGACCCATAGAGACCCATAGGGACCCATAGAGACCCATAGAGACCCATACGGACCCATAGGGACCCATAGAGACCCAGAGAGACCCATAGGGACCCATAGAGACCCATACGGACCCATAGAGACCCATACGGACCCATAGGGACCCATAGAGACCCAGAGAGACCCAGAGGGACCCATAGAGACCCATAGGGGCCCATAGAGAACCACAGAGAGCCATAGAGACCCAGAGGGACCCATAGAGACCCATAGAGACCCAGAGGGACCTATAGGGGCCCATAGGGACCCAGAGAGACCCATAGAGACCCATAGGGACCCATAGAGACCCAGAGGGACCCATAGGGGCCCATAGAGACCCAGAGGGACCCAGAGGGACCCATAGAGACCCATAGGTCTCCCCCATTGCCCCCCATTACCCCCATTCCCCCCATTCCCCCCCATTCCCTTTGCCCCATTACCCCCCATTCCCCCCATTCCCCCATTCCCCCCTTTCCATTACCCCCATTACCCCCATTGCCCCATTACCCCTCCATTCCCCCCATTGCCCCCCATTCCCCCCATTGCCCTATTCCCCCCCATTCCCCCTATTCCCCCCCTTATCCCCTTACCCCCATTACCCCCATTACCCCCATTGCCCCATTACCCCTCCATTCCCCCCATTCCCCCCATTGCCCCATTGCCCCATTATCCCCCCATTGCCCCCATTACCCCCATTACCCCCATTGCCCCATTACCCCCCATTACCCCTCCATTCCCCCCATTCCCCCATTGCCCCCCCCCATTCCCCCATTCCCCCCATTCCCCCATTGCCCCATTACCTCCCTTCCCCCCATTGCCCCATTACCCCCCCATTACCCCCCATTCCCCCCATTGCCCCATTACCCCCCCATTGCCCCATTACCCCCCATTGCCCCCCATTACCCCCATTGCCCCCCATTGCCCCCCATTGCCCCCCATTGCCCCCCATTGCTCCCCATTGCCCCCTCCTCACTTCTCCCGCAGCCGCCGCAGCTCCAGGCGCAGATCCTGGTCCTCGGGGTCCGTGTCCCCATCGCTGCTCATGGGGGACGAGGGGGACCCGGGGGGGCGCGGGGGGGCGCCGGGGGGATGGGGGGGACCCCCCGTCCCCCCCCCACTTTCGCTTTCAGAGCTGGGATCCCCCCATTCGCCTTCGCTTTGGGAGGGGGGCGCGGATTCGGGGTGCAATGGCTGGGGGGGAGATAGGGGGGATATGGGGTGATGGGGGGATAGGGGTCAGGGGGGTATAGGGGTGATGGGGGGATAGGGGTCATAGGGGGTATAGGGGAATATAGGGGTGATGGGAGTATGGGGGTCATGGGGGGATATAGGGGTAATGGGGGGATAAAGGGGTGATGGGGGTATAGGGGTGATGGGGTATAGGGGTGGTTGGGATATAGGGGTGATGGGGGGTATAGGGGTGATGGGGGGATATAGGGGTAATGGGGGTATAAGGGTCATAGGGGGATATAGGGGTGATGGGGTTATGGGGTAATATGGGTATGGGGGTGATCGGGGGATAAAGGGGTGATGGGGATATAGGGGTGATGGGGGGGATATAGGGGTGATGAGGGGTATAGGGGTCATAGGGGGATATAGGGGTGATGGGGTTATGGGGTAATATGGGTATGGGGGTGATGGGAGGATAAAGGGGTGATGGGGATATAGGGGTGATGGGGGGGATATAGGGGTGATGGGGGGATATAGGGGTGATGAGGGGTATAGGGGTCATAGGGGGATATAGGGGTGAAGGGGTTATGGGGTAATATGGGTATGGGGGTGATGGGGGGATAAAGGGGTGAAGGCCCCCATCCTGCCCCCCCCAAACACCCACCTGGCAATGACCTGGCCCAGAGTGGTCCCCAAGATCCTGCTGCTCCTCTGTGGGTCGGGGGGGGTCACAAAGGGGGGGGGGGCATTAATGGGGGGCTCACAAAGTGGGGGGCACAAATAGGGCACACAAGGGGGTCACAAAGGGAGTGTCATGAAGGGGGGGTCGCAAAGGGGGGTCATAAAGGGGGGGTCACAATGGGGATTGCAAAGGGGGTGTCAGAATGGGGGGTCATAAAGGGGGGTCACAATGGGGATCACAATGAGGGGGTCACAATGGGGGTCACAAAGGGGGGTGGGCTCCCAAAGGGGAGGTCCCCAATGGGTGCCCGGGGGTGTTGTAAAGGGGGGGGGTCACAATGGGGGGTTCAAAAATGGGGGTCACAATGAGGGGGTCACCATGGGGAGGTCACAATGGGGGGGTCACAATGAGGGTTACAAAGGGGGGGTCACAATGGGGGGGTCACAATGGGGGGGTCCCAATGAGGGTTACAAAGGGGGGGGTCACAATGAGGAGGCCACAATGGGGGGGTCACAATGGGGGGGTCCCAATGAGGGTTACAAAGGGGGGGGTCACAATGAGGGGGTCACAATGGGGGGGTCAAAAATGGGGGTCACAATGAGGGGGTCACAGTGAGGGTTACAAAGGGGGATCATAAAGGGGGGGGTCACAATGGGGGGGTCAAAAATGGGGGGTCATAGTGGGGGTCACAGTGGGGAGGTCACAATGGGGGGTCACAAAGGGGGGGGTCACAATGGGGGGGTCCCAATGAGGGTTACAAAGGGGGGGGGTCACAATGGGGAGGTCACAAGAGGGGGTCACAACGGGGGGGTCACAACGGGGATGTCACAATGAGGATTACAAAGGGGGGTCACAATAAGGGGGTCACAATGGGGGGGTCACAATAAGGGGGTCACAATGGGGAGGTCACAGTGGGGGGTCACAATGAGGGTTACAAAGGGGGGGTCACAATGGGGAGGTCACAATGGGGGGTCACAATGAGGGTTACAAAGGGGGGGTCACAATGGGGGGGTCACAATTGGGGGGGTCACAATGAGAGTTACAAAGGGGGGGTCACAATGGGGAGGTCACAATGGGGGGGTCACAATGGGGGGTCACAATGAGGGTTACAAAGGGGGGTCACAATGAGAGTTACAAAGGGGGGGTCACAATGGGGGGGTCACAATGGGGGGTCACAATGAGGGTTACAAAGGGGGGGTCACAATGGGGAGGTCACAATGGGGGCTCACAATGAGGGTTACAAAGAGGGGGTCACAATGGGGGGGTCACAATGGGGGTCACAATGGGGGAGGGGCTCCCAAAGGGGGGGGTCCCCAATGGGTGCCCGCGGGGGGATGGGGGGGGGGGGATGGGGGAGCGGTACCTGCCCGGGGGGGGCTCCCGGCGGGGGGGGGCGGGCGCAGGCGCCGGGCCCAGGTCTTGATGCGGCGGCCCCAGCCCCTCCTCCCCACGGGGTTCTTGAGGCGGGGGCAGCTGAAGCCAAGGGCGAAGGCACCGGGGGCACGGGAGGGGGGGGGGCCCTGGGCAATGGGGGGGGGGGGGGGTCAGTGCCAGGGTCGGGGGGGGGGGGACAACGGCCCCATGGGGACAACAAGGGGTTGGGGTGCGCTGGGACTTGGGGGGCACCGGGTCCATGGGGGGTTATGAGGGACATCAAGGGGTTGGGGTGCACTGGGACTTGGGGGGCACCGGGTCCATGGGGGGCTATGAGAGACACCAAGGGGTCGGGGTGCGCTGGGACCTGGGGGGCATCGGGTCCCTGGGGGGCTGTGAGGGACATCAAGGGGTTGGGGACATGGGGACAATGGTCCCATAGGGGACACCAAGGGGTTGGGGTGCGCTGGGACTTGGGGGGCATCAGGTTCATGGGGGGTTATGAGGGACATCAAGGGGTTGGGGTGAGCTGGGACTTGGGGGGCACCGTGTCCATGGGGATGGGGCTTTGGGGACATGGGGACAATGGTCCCATGGGGGACACCAAAGGGTTGGGGTGAGCTGGGACCTGGGGGGAACGGGGTCCATGGGGGGCTGTGAGGGACATCAAGGGGTTGGGGTGCGCTGGGACTTGGGGGGCATCAGGTTCATGGGGGGCTGTGAGGGACATCAAGGGGTTGGGGTGAGCTGGGACTTGGGGGGCATCAGGGTCATGGGGGGCTGTGAGGGACATCAAGGGGCTGGGGACATGGGGACAATGGTCCCATGGGGGACACCAAGGGGTTGGGGTGAGCTGGGACTTGGGGGGCACCGGGTCCATGGGGGGTTATGAGGGACATCAAGGGGTCGGGGACATGGGGACAATGGTCCCATGGGGGACACCAAGGGGTTGGGGTGCGCTGGGACTTGGGGGGCAATGGGTCCATGGGGGGCTGTGAGGGACATCAAGGGGTCGGGGACATGGGGACAATGGTCCCATGGGGGACACCAAGGGGTTGGGGTGCGCTGGGACTTGGGGGGCATCAGGGTCATGGGGGGCTGTGAGGGACATCAAGGGGTTGGGGTGCACTGGGACCTGGGGGGAACGGGGTCCATGGGGGGTTATGAGGGACATCAAGGGGTTGGGGTGCGCTGGGACTTGGGGGGCACCGGGTCCATGGGGGGTTATGAGGGACATCAAGGGGTCGGGGTGAGCTGGGACTTGGGGGGCACCGGGTCTGTGGGGATGGGGCTTTGGGGACATGGGGACAATGGTCCCATGGGGACACCAAGGGGTTGGGGTGCACTGGGACGTGGGGGGCATCAGGTTCATGGGGGGCTGTGAGGGACATCAAGGGGTTGGGGTGCGCTGGGACTTGGGGGGCACCGGGTCCATGGGGGGTTATGAGGGACATCAAGGGGTTGGGGTGCGCTGGGACTTGTGGGTCACCAGGTCTATGGGGTTTGGGGCTTTGGGGGCACGCAGGGGTTGGGGTTTGGCGCTGAGCACCCCCCATTCCATGGGGCACATCCAGCGTGGGGGGCTCAGTGCCGATCACCTCCGTTCCTTGGGTCGCATCCGGCTCTTGGTGCTGGGGGTCCCCGGCCCCATGGCAGGCTCCGGCCTCACCGCCCCCCTGCTCCCGGTGTCCCGGGGGCTCCGGTGGCTCAGCCCCATCCTGCCCCACAGCACCGGGGCCTTGGGGGGGGCCTTTGGGCCCCGTCCCCCCCTCTCCATCGGGGTCCTCCTGCTCTTGGGGTGCTCCAAAGCCTCGAGGGACCCCAGGCTGGGGGACGGCCTCCTCCTGCCCTCGAGGGCCACCGACCCCATGCTCTATGGGGCCAGCGGCCTCTGGGCTATGGGGCGTGGGGAGCCCTGCGCCATCCGGCCCCATTGCTGCTGCTTGAGGGCCACCGGCATCTGAGCTGCCCAGGGCTCGGCGAGGGGCTGCGGGACCCCCAGGACCTGCAGTGGGGGGACCCCAAACCCATTGTAGGGTTGGGGTCACCAATGTCCCCCCCCAGTGTCCCAGCCCCATTGATGTCATTGTAGGGTTGGGGTCACCAATGTTCCCCCCCCAACGTCCCAGCCCCATTGATGTCATTGTAGGGTTGGGGTCACCAATGTCACCCCCCAACGTCCCAGCCCCATTGATGTCATTGTAGGGTTGGGGTCACCAATGTCCCCCCCAGTGTCCCAGCCCCATTGATGTCATTGTAGGGTTGGGGTCACCAATGTCCCCCCCCAGTGTCCCAGCCCCATTGATGTCATTGTAGGGTTGGGGTCACCAATGTCCCCCCCAGTGTCCCAGCCCCATTGATGTCATTGTAGGGTTGGGGTCACCAATGTCACCCCCCCCAACATCCCAGCCCCATTGATGTCATTGTAGGGTTGGGGTCACCAATGTCCCCCCCCCAGCGTCCCAGCCCCATTGATGTCGTTGTAGGGTTGGGGTCACCAATGTCCCCCCCCCCAACGTCCCAGCCCCATTGATGTCATTGTAGGGTTGGGGTCACCAATGTCCCTCCCCCAACGTCCCAGCCCCATTGATGTCATTGTAGGGTTGGGGTCACCAATGTCCCCCCCCAGCGTCCCAGCCCCATTGATGTCCCTGTAGGGTTGGGGTCACCAATGTCACCCCCCCCAACATCCGAGCCCCATTGATGTCCCTGTAGGGTTGGGGTCACCAATGTCCCCCCCCCAGTGTCCCAGCCCCATTGATGTCATTGTAGGGTTGGGGTCACCAATGTTCCCCCCCAGTGTCCCAGCCCCATTGATGTCATTGTAGGGTTGGGGTCACCAATGTCCCCCCCCAACGTCCCAGCCCCATTGATGTCATTGGAGGGTTGGGGTCACCAATGTCCCCCCCAGTGTCCCAGCCCCATTGATGTCATTGTAGGGTTGGGGTCACCAATGTCCCCCCCCAGCGTCCCAGCCCCATTGATGTCATTGTAGGGTTGGGGTCACCAATACCACACCCCCCAATGTCCCAGCCCCATTGATGTCATTGTAGGGTTGGGGTCACCAATACCCCCCCCCAACATCCGAGCCCCATTGATGTCCCTGTAGGGTTGGGGACCCCAATGTTGCCCCCCTGATGTCCCAACCCCACTGATGTCATTGTAGGGTTGGGGACCCCAATGTCCCCCCCCATGTCCCTTCACCCACCGGTGGCCTCCCTGTTCCTGATGGTTTGGTTGATGCAGAACCTCCAGCGACCCACAGGGGACGATTGGGGGGCCCCTTCTGTTGGCAATGGGGGGTGCTCAGAGCTGGGGTCCCCCCATTGCCCCCCCCATGCCCCCCCCCCCCCCATTCCATCCCTCACCGCTCGCCGCCGGCTCCATCGCTCCAACCTATGGGGAGACCCCATTGGGCTTGGTCAATGGGGGGGAATGGGATAACCCAAAGGGGACATTGAACGGGGGGGGGGGGGTCACATGGGGCACCTGGGGGTCCACATGGGGGGCACCGAGGAGCCCCCGCGCCCGCGCCACGATGGCCTTGAGCTCCTCCACGAACTTCTCCCTTTCGGCCTCCAACACGAAGTTGTCCTCAACCTTTGGGGGGGGGGGGGTTAAATGTTGGGGGGTGGGGGGGATATGGGACCAAGGGGGGGGAGGGTTTTGGGGTGCAGGGGGTGTGGGGGGGGGGCACCATGTAAGAGGCGATGTCCTCGGGGGCGTCCCCATCGGCGTCGAACTTGAAGGTCACCGTCTTGCAGTCGTGGGTCTCCAGTTGGCACTCGAGCGTGTTGTCCCCCGGTGAGGAGACCTGCGTGGAGCAGGGGGGGGGACGTCAGTTATGGGGTGGTGTCGTCGTCCCCATAGGGGGCTATGGGGTGTTCCTGTCCCCCCCCCCCCCGCCCCACACTGACCTGGAGCGCGGTGAGCTGGAAGCGGGGCCGCGGGCAGGAAGCGCGGCGCTGGCGCCATCGGTCCCCACGGCCACCGGCGTCCGGGGGGGTGGAGGCGGCCTCGGGGACGCGCAGGGAGGGGGTTGGGTCCGGGGGGTCGGGGGGTGGGAGGGGGGCGGCTGGGGGGGGGGGATGGGGAGGTGGGATCTCTATGGGGAGGGGGAGCGGGGATGGAGCTGGGGGCATCCCTATGGATGAGGGCATCTCCATGGGCGCGGGCATCCCTATGGATGAGGGCATCCCTATGGATGAGGGCATCTCCATGGGTGCGGGCATCCCTATGGATGGGGGCATCCCTATGGATGAGGGCATCTCCATGGGTGCGGGCATCCCTATGGATGAGGGCATCTCCATAGTTGGGGGCATCCCAATGGATGGGGGCATCCCTATGGTTGGGGGCATCTCCATGGTTGGTGGCATCTCCATGGGTGCGGGCATCCCTATGGATGGGGGCATCCCTATGGTTGGAGGCATCTCCATAGTTGGTGGCATCCCTATGGATGGGGGCATCCCTATGGATGGTGGCATCTCCATAGTTGGTGGCATCCCTATGGATGGGGGCATCCCTATGGATGGTGGCATCTCCATGGTTGGAGGCATCTCCATAGTTGGTGGCATCCCTATGGCTGGTGGCATCCCAGATGGAGGTGGCATCCCTGGACCTGGTGGCATCCCCATGGACGGCGGCACTGCTGACGGAGGTGGCATCCCAACGGCGGGTGGCATCTCCATGGTTGATGGCATCCCTGGGGTTGGTGGCATCCCTTGGGATGGGGGCATCCCGATAGGGGCTGGCATCTCCATGGATGGCGGCATCACTTGGCCTGGTGGCATCCCCATCGGTGGTGGCATCCCAATGGATGCTGGCATCCCTGGACCTGGTGGCATCCCTTGGGCTGGTGGCATCCCAGGTGGAGCCGGTGCCATCCCCATCGTTGGTGGCATCTCCGGACCACCTTGGACTGGTGGCATCCCGCTTCGTGCTGGCATCCCTGGCCCTGGTGGCATCCCGGTGGGCAACGGCATCCCGCTTGCTGGTGGCATCTCCGGACCTGCTGGCATCCCTTGGGCTGCTGGCATCCCACTTAGGGCTGGCATCCCCAGAGCTGGTGGCAACCCTGGGGCTGGTGGCATCCCGGTACCTGATGGTGGCATCCTGGTACCTGATGGTGGCATCCCGGTACCTGATGGTGGCATCCCGGTACCTGGTGGTGGCATCCCTGGAGCTGGTGGCATCCCGGTACCTGATGGTGGCATCCCGGTACCTGATGGTGGCATCCCGGTACCTGGTGGTGGCATCCCGGTACCTGATGGTGGCATCCCTGGAGCTGGTGGCATCCCGGTACCTGGTGGTGGCATCCCTGGAGCTGGTGGCATCCCAGTACCCAATGGTGGCATCCCGGTACCCAATGGTGGCATCCCGGTACCCGATGGTGGCATCCCGGTACCCAGTGGTGGCATCCCTGGAGCTGGTGGCATCCCGGTACCCGATGGTGGCATCCCGGTACCCGGTGGTGGTATCCCTGGAGCTGGTGGCATCCCAGTACCTTGTGGCATCCCAGTACCCGATGGTGGCATCCCGGTACCCGATGGTGGCATCTCAGTACCTGATGGTGGCATCCCGGTACCCAGTGGTGGCATCCCTGGAGCTGGTGGCATCCCAGTACCCGATGGTGGCATCCCGGTACCCGATGGTGGCATCTCAGTACCTGATGGTGGCATCCCGGTACCCAGTGGTGGCATCCCGGTACCTGATGGTGGCATCCCGGTACCTGATGGTGGCATCCTGGTACCTGGTGGTGGCATCCCTGGAGCTGGTGGCATCCCAGTACCTGATGGTGGCATCCCGGTACCCAGTGGTGGCATCCCTGGAGCTGGTGGCATCCCGGTACCTGATGGTGGCATCCCAGGCCCCGGTGCCCCCGGTGCTGGCTGTGGCCGTGCCAGCCCCATGGGTGCCATTGCCCAGCTCCGCGTCACCCCCAGCTCCCCGTCCCCACCGGGGAGCTCCAGCCCCACCACGGTGGCACCGCCGGTGACGTCCATCGATGTCCCCTCCACCTGTGGGGCAAAGCACGGCTGTGGGACCCGACCCCCTTGTCCCCACCCCACGGCGGCGGCGCAACCGGGACCCACCTGCAATGGGACGTGGGGGGCACAAGGGGGGGACGCCCCATCTTGGGGGGGGCCTGGTTGGTAGCACCCAAGGAGACCACGGCTGCTGGCGGCATCTGCCATGGGTCCAGTGTCCAAGAGCCCCTCGGCTGCTGAGGGGCACCCAAAGGGTGAGCGGTGATGGGTGACCAGCAGCCATGGGGTGAGCAATGGGGGTCCCATGGGGTGGGCAATGGGGCTCAATGGGGTGGGCAATGGGGATCGCATGGGGTGGGTACTGGGGGTCCCATGGGGTGGGCAATGGGGGCTCAATGGGGTGGGCAATGGGGATCGCATGGGGTGGGCAATGGGGATCCCATGGGGTGAGCAACGAGGGTCCCATAGGGTGGGCAATGGGAGCTCCATGGGGTGGCCAACGGGGATCCCATGGGGTGAGCAATGAGGGTCCCATAGGGTGGGCAATGGGAGCTACATGGGGTGGGCAATGGGGATCCCATGGGGTGGGCAAAGGCGATCCCATGGGTTGAGCAATGGGGATTCCATAGGGTGGCCAATAGGGGTCCCATGGGGTGGCCAATGGGGATCCCATGGGGTGGGCAATGGGAGCTCCATGGGGTGGGCAATGGGGATCCCATGGGGTGGGCAATGGGAGCTCCATGGGGTGGCCAATAGGGGTCCCATGGGGTGGCCAATGGGGATCCCATGGGGTGGGCAATGGGGATCCCATGGGGTGGGCAATGGGGGACCCATGGGGTGAGCAATGGCAATGCCATGGGGTGGGCAATGGCGACCCCATGGGGTGGGCAATGGCGATCCCATGGGGTGGGCAATGGGGGACCCATGGGGTGAGCAATGGGGATCCCATGGGATGGGCAATGGAGGACCCATGGAGTGAGCAATGGCAAAGCCATGGGGTGGGCAATGGGGTGGCCAACGGGGGTCCCATGGGGGTCTCACCGTGCTGCTGGAGCAGCTGCTGCCGCACGTGCTGATCCACCTCGGTGTCCTCGCTCTCGGCGGGGGCCCGACCTTCGGCTTGCTTCCTCTCCCGGCTCCTCCGGACCACGGCCAGGCGGTCCCGGATGGATTTGGCCACGGCTTTGGAGTCGCTCTCATGGAAGAAGCCGGATTTCACCTGCGTGGAGGGGGCAAAGGGGTGGCCACGGCCTTGGGGAGGCTTCAGCACCACGGACAGGGGCAACCGCTGGGGTCATGGGGAGGAGCGTTGGCTTTGGAAGGGTCCATGATGAGGTTGAGGGGCCCAACGAAGGGTTTATGGGTGTATTTATGGGTGCCATTGGCTTTGGAAGGGTTCAAGATGAGGTTGAGGGTCCCAGTAAAGGGTTTATGGGTGTATTTATGGGTGCCATTGGCTTTGGAAGGGTCCATGATGAGGTTGAGGGGTCCAAGGAAGGGTTTATGGGTGTATTTATGGGTGCCATTGGCTTTGGAAGGGTTCAAGATGAGGTTGAGTCTCCCAGTGACGGGTTTATGGGTGTATTTATGGGTGCCATTGGCTTTGGAAGGGTTCAAGATGAGGTTGAGGGGCCCAACGAAGGGTTTATGGGTGTATTTATGGGTTCCATTGGCTTTGGAAGGGTCCATGATGAGGTTGAGGCGTCCAAGGATGGGTTTATGGGTGTATTTATGGGTGCCATTGGCTTTGGAAGGGTCCATGATGAGGTTGAGGCGTCCAAGGATGGGTTTCTGGGTGTATTTACGGGTGCCATTGGCTTTGGAAGGGTCCATGATGAGGTTGAGGGGCCCAACGAAGGGTTTATGGGTGTATTTATGGGTGCCATTGGCTTTGGAAGGGCTCAAGATGAGGTTGAGGGTCCCAGTAAAGGGTTTATGGGTGTATTTATGGGTGCCATTGGCTTTGGAAGGGTCCATGATGAGGTTGAGGGGCCCAATGAAGGGTTTATGGGTGTATTTATGGGTGCCATTGACTTTGGAAGGGTTCAAGATGAGGTTGAGGGTCCCAATGAAGGGTTTATGGGTGTATTTATGGGTGCCATTGGCTTTGGAAGGGCTCAAGATGAGGTTGAGGGGTCCAATGAAGGGTTTATGGGTGTATTTATGGGTGCCATTGGCTTCATAAGAGGTTCACGGTCCTGAGGGACCAACCCCCCCCCCCCAATCCATAACCATTGTGGACCTTCAGGGTGGCTCAAGCCAAGCCGATGCCACCAACCCCGCTGAGGTTCTCCCCTGCCCCATGGAACCCCCCATGCCCATTTCCCCCCCCCACCGCCCTCACCATCTCGTAGGCCACCTCCTCGGGGACGTCGGCCTCCAGGTTGAAGCTGAACTCGATGGCTTCGTTGTCCTTGTGCTTGCCCTTGAGCTTCTTGGGGTCCTCGACCCAGAGGCGCAGCGCGAGGCAGGGCTCGGGCCCCACCGCGTCCTCGGCCAGCTCCACGCGCAGCCCCGTGTCCTCGGCGAAGAACGCGTGGTTCAGCAGGTCCCGGATGGACAACCTGGGGGTGGCGGGGGGGGTTTGGGGTGCGCTCAGCCCCACATGTAAGGGGGGCAGCCAGCACCCTCCTAGGGGCCCATCGCCCACCTCTCGGCCTTGTTCTGCCGGATGCAGCCCTCGATGATGTCCCGCACCTCCGGGTCGGTCACCTTGGAGAAGCTGGCTGGCTTGATGCCCTATGGGGAGGGGGGGGAACCGGAGCGGTGGGGACACCACCAGGATGGGGGCACCACGGGGGTGATGCTACCCCAATGACAACGGCACCACCGTGATGATGCTATGGTGGTGAAGATACCATCACAATGATGCCACCATGGTAAGGAGGCCACCACAATGACGATGCTACCACCACAATGATGATGGCACCACCGTGATGATGCTATGGTGGTGAAGATGCCACCACAATGATGATGCCACCATGATAAAGAGGCCACCACAATGGTGATGCCACCACCATGGTGATGTCCCCACCACAATGGTGATGCCACCACCATGATGATGCCACCACAGTAAGGATGCCACCACAGTAAGGATGCCACCACAATGATGCCACCACAATGATGATACTATGATAATGAAGATGCCACCACAACGATGATGCCCTCACCAGGATGATGTCATCACAATGATGCCATCACAATGATGATACTATGATACTGAAGATGCCATCACGATGATACCACCACAGTTAGGATGCCACCATAATGATGATGCCCCCACCATGATGATGCCACCGCAACGATGACATTATGATAGTGAAGAAGCCATCACAACGATGGTACCACCACGGTAAGGATGCCACCATGATGACAATGGCACTACTGTGATGATGCTATGATGGTGAAGATGCCACCACAACGCTGGTACCACCACCATGATGATGCCACCACCATGATGATGCCACCACCGAGATGACGCCACTACAATGCCAACGCCAACGCAACGACGATGCCACCATGGTAACGCTACCGTGACCATGACGCTACGACCACCAAGATGACACCACCACCATGACGATGCCACCACAATGAAGATGCCACCACCACCACCCCCCCCGGCGACCCACGCTGGTGACTTTGCGGTAGATCTGCGCCGCGTTCTGGCACTCGGAGTAGGGATACTCGGAGGTGCCCATCTCCAACATGCACATCCCGAAGGCGTAGACGTCCACCGACTCGTCGTAGCGCTCCTCATACATCTCCGGCGCCATGAACTCGGGGGTCCCTATGGGAGGGGGTGGTGAGAGCCAGGAACCCACTACCACCACCATCACCACAACCATCACCATCACCACCATCAGCACCATCACAACCATCACCATCACCACCACCACAACCATCACCAACACCACCATCACCACCACCACAACCATCACCACTATCACCATCACTATCACCACCACCACCACCATCATCACCACCACCACCACCACCAACACCACCATCACCATCATCACCACCACCACCATCACCATCATCACCACCACCACCACCATCACCATCACCACCATCAGCACCACCATCACCACCACCACTGGGCACAATGGGGCTCACCAATGACGCTCTTGGCAAAGGAGGTCCTCATGAGCGTGGCCAACCCCAGGTCCCCGATCTTGACGGAGCCCGTGGGGCCCGTGATGAAGATGTTGTCACACTTGAGGTCCCGGTGGATGATGGGGGGTGTCCGGGTGTGCAGGAAGTGGAGCCCCTTCAGGATCTGCCGGCACCAGCTCCGAAGCACCTTGGGCTTCATCACCTTGAACCTCTTGAGGTACCTGCGAGGGGGCTCAGGGTCAATCGGAGACCTCAACCATCGCCCCCGTGATGGTTTTGGGGTCTTCTTGTCTTTGGAAGGGGGTTCAGGGTCAATGTGAGACCTCAACCATTGGGTCCATGATGAGTTTGGGGTCTCCTTCTCATTGTAAGTGCGTTCAACCTCAATTTGAGACCTCAACCATTGCCTCCATGATGGCTTTGGGGTCTCCTTGTCTTTGGAAGGGGGTGCAGGGTCAATCTGAGACCTCAACCATTGGGTTCATGATGAGTTTGGGGCCTCCTTCTCTTTGGAAGGGGGTTCAGGGTCAATGTGAGACCTCAACCATTGGGTCCATGATGAACTTGGGGTATCCTTATCTTTGAAAGGGGGTTCAACCTCAATTTGAGACCTCAGCCATTGGGTCCATGATGAGTTTGGGGTCTCCTTGTCATTGTAAGTGCGTTCAACCTCAATTTGAGACCTCAACCATTGCCCCCATGATGGTTTTGGGGTCTCCTTGTCTTTGGAAGGGGGTGCAGGGTCAATCTGAGACCTCAACCATTGGGTCCATGATGAACTTGGGATCTCCTTCTCTTTGGAAAGGGGTTCAGGGTCAATGTGAGACCTCAACCATTGGGTCCACGATGGTTTTGAGGTCTCCTTGTGTTTGGAAGGGGGTTCAACCTCAATGTGAGACCTCAACCATTGGGTCCATGATGACTTTGGTATCTCCTCTTTGGAAGCTCCTTCAACCTCAACGGCGGAAGGCAGCCCTGCCCATGGACCTGGGTGATGTCCAGGTCCTTCCCACCCCATTCCACGCCCCTCATCACTCACGTCTTGAGGGTGCCCGAGGTCATCAGCTCGGTGACCAGGACGATGCACTTCTTGCCCTTGACCGTGGACTCCCAGGAGTCGTAGAAGCGGACGATGTTGGGGTGCTGCAGCCCCTTGAGCATCTCAGCCTCTTCCTTGAACCTCTGCTGCTCCATCTTGGTCAGCTTGCGGTCCTGGGGGCCATGGGACAGCCTCAAACCCACCCCACAGCCAAGGAGCATCTCCTTTGGCCCACCACGAAGCTCCTTCGGGTCCCCATGGAGCACTGGTGGGGCAGGAAGGGGATGGGATTTGTGGGCTGTGGCGCTGTGCCTGGTGGCAGGAGCCCCGGCAGGACATTGGGATGATGGAGTTGGGAGCCTCCGGGATTCCTTGGGGGTCTCCTCGGCTTGGGAAGGGGGCTCAGGGTCCATGTGAGACCTCAACCATGGGGTCCATGATGACTTTGGGGTCTCCTTGACTTCAGAAGAGGGCTCAACCTCAACCTGAGACCTCAACCATGGGGTCTATGATGAATTTGGTGTCTTTGGAAGGGGGTCCAGGCTCAATGTGAGACCTCAACCATTGGGTCTATGATGACTTCGGGCTCTCCATGTCATTACAAGTGGGTTCAACCTCAATCTGAGGGCTCAACCATTGAGTCTATGATGAATCTGGGGTCTCCTTGACTTCAGAAGGGGGCTCAACCTCAACCTGAGACCTCAACCATGGGGTCTATGATGAATTTGGGGTCTTTGGAAGGGGGTTCAGGGTCAATCTGAGACCTCAACCATTGGGTCCATGATGACTTCGGGCTCTCCATGTCATTGCAAGTGGGTTCAACCTCAGTCTGAGACCTCAACCATGGGGTCTATGATGAATTTGGGGTCTTTGGAAGGGGGTTCAGGGTCAATCTGAGACCTCAACCATTGGGTCTATGATGACTTCTGGCTCTCCATGTCATCGCAAGTGGGTTCAACCTCAATGTGAGACCTCAGCCATTGGGTCTATGATGACTTCGGGCTCTCCATGTCATCGCAAGTGGGTTCAACCTCAACGTGAGACCTCAGCCATTGGGTCTATGATGACTTCTGGCTCTCCATGTCATGCAAGTGGGTTCAACCTCAACGTGAGACCTCAGCCATTGGGTCTATGATGACTTCTGGCTCTCCATGTCATCGCAAGTGGGTTCAACCTCAACGTGAGACCTCAACCATCGCCTCCACGACGCCCCCCCAACCCCAAGGACCCCCGTCCCCCCCGTCCATGCCCTCACCTGCAGCTCGCACCAGGCCACCTCCACCCAGGTGTCGGTGTCGAAGCCCTTGAAGACGGTCTTGAAGGCGCCGCGGCCCAGCTCGATGTCGAACTTGAGGAAGCGGCCCCCCGGCGACGTCGCCACCGCCTTCATCTCCGCTTCCTCCTCCACCTCCTCCCTGCCCGAAGCCCCCCCCGGGACCCCCCCCCGGAGCTCTTGGTCCCCTCCATCGCTGGGGGGGCCCCGCTCCTCCTCCAGCAGCTCCACGCTCTTGCGGAAGAAGCGCTTTGGGGGGGCTTTGGTGGGGCTCAAGTCCGTGGCCATGGTTGGCTCCTATAGACCTCAATACGGGGGGGGGGTGCCCCCCTATGGAGCTATAGGGGAGTTTGAAGGGGGGGGTCCTCAGTGGTGCTTTGGGGGTGTCAATGGAGGTGGTGGTGGTGCCACAGCCCCCCCCCCCCCATGGGGGGACCTGTTGGGATAAAGAGGGGTTGTTAAGGGGGGGTTGATCCCCCTATAGAGCCTATGGGTGCCTTAGGTAAGCACCCCTTTCTGGTTCTATAGGTGCCCTATGGATCCCCTAGGCACTATTTACATACACATGCATACACACACACATATACCTATATATACCCTGCCCCCCATAGATCCTGTGTGCCCCACACCCCGTATATCCCCCTTATATATACACCCCCAATTGGCTCTATAGCCCTCATGTGCCCTACACACCATAGAGCCCCCCCCATAGCCCCTATATACTCCAATAGCCCCAAAAGCCCCTATATTCTCCCACCCCCCATATCCCCTATACCCCCCATGTGCCCTCTCATCCCGTATAGCCCCCCCCAGCACCTATAGCCCCCGTGCACCCCCTCATCCTCTATACCCCTCCTCATCCCCTATACCTCCCATATCTCCTATAGCCCCCCTATGCCCCCCACAACCCCTTAGACCCGACGAGCACCCCCCAGCCCCTATAGAGCCGTTGTTATCCCCTATAGCAGCCCCTATAGAGCCCTTATCCCCTATAGCAGCCTCTATAGGGCCCATATCACCCCCCATGTGTCGTGTTCCCCCCCGCCCCCCCCAGCCCCACGGTCCCGCTCCCCTCCCTCCCCCCGCCCCTCCCGCGCACCTGCGTCACGTGACCGCGGCCGCAGGGGGGGCTGCCGGGAGCTGGAGTCCTCGCAGGCCTCTGCCGTTGGCCACGCCCCCACCCGCTCCGGGCCACGCCCCTCCATCGAGCACTCGGCGCTCGATTGGGTCACCCGGCGCCGGATCGTTCCGGCCGCCGGCCCCGCGATCGAACACTCGGCGCTCGATCCGGCGCGGGGATCGATTACTCGGTGCTCGATCGAGCCCTCGGCGCCCGATCGATCACTCGGCGCCCGATCGATCACTCGGCGCTCGATTGGGCGCGGAGAGCCCTCGCTCGGCTCCCGATCGATCACTCTGCTCCCGATCGATCACTCGGCTCCCGATCGATCACTCGGCGCTCGATTGGGAGCGGACAGCCCTCACTCGGCTCCCGCTCGATCGCTCGGCGCTCGGCCGCGGGCCCTGCGGCGGCGTCGCAATGGCGGCGCCCAGCGCGGAGGAGCGGGCGCTGCTGGAGCGCGGGGTGCGGGCGGTGCTGAGCGGCTGGGCCGCGCTGCAGGTGCGGAACGGGGATGGGGGGGGGGTGGTGGGGACCCCATGGGTGTCCCTGACCGTGCCCGTGTCCGTGCCCCGCAGCTGGCCGTGGCTCAGGGCTTCGGGGGCCCGCAGAGCCCCGAGAAGGCCGCGTGGTTGGTGGGGGCGGTGCTGGAGTTCCTGAGCCAGAACCGTGAGTGCGGGGGGGGGGGGGGGGGAATGGGGGCGATGGGAGGGGGATGAAGGGCACTGGGATGGACTGGGAAGGCACTGGAATAGAGTGGCGTGGATTGAAAGGGAGCTGAAGGGCACTGGGATGGACTGGGAAGGCACTGGGGGCTACTGGGAGAGGGATGAAGGGGACTGGGATAAACTGGGGAGGTATTGGGGGCACTAGGAGGGAGCTGAAGGGCACTGGGATGGACTGGGGAGGCACTGGGGGGCAGTGGGGGGAGGATAAAGGGCACTGGAATGTACTGGGAAGGCACTGGAATAGAGTGGGGTGGATTGAAAGGGAGCTGAAGGGCACTGGGATGGACTGGGAAGGCACTGGGGGCTACTGGGAGAGGGATGAAGGGGACTGGGATAAACTGGGGAGGTATTGGGGGCACTAGGAGGGAGATGAAGGGCACTGGGATGGACTGGGGAGGCACTGGGGGGCAGTGGGGGGAGGATAAAGGGCACTGGAATGTACTGGGAAGGCACTGGAATAGAGTGGGGTGGATTGAAAGGGAGCTGAAGGGCACTGGGATGGACTGGGAAGGCACTGGGGGCTACTGGGAGAGGGATGAAGGGGACTGGGATAAACTGGGGAGGTATTGGGGGCACTAGGAGGGAGATGAAGGGCACTGGGATGGACTGGGGAGGCACTGGGGGGCAGTGGGGGGAGGATAAAGGGCACTGGAATGTACTGGGAAGGCACTGGAATAGAGTGGGGTGGATTGAAAGGGAGCTGAAGGGCACTGGGATGGACTGGGAAGGCACTGGGGGCTACTGGGAGAGGGATGAAGGGAACTGGGATAAACTGGGGAGGTATTGGGGGCACTAGGAGGGAGCTGAAGGGCACTGGGATGGACTGGGGAGGCACTGGGGGGCAGTGGGGGGGAGGATGAAGGGCACTGGAATGAACTGGGAAGGCACTGGAATAGACTGGGGTGGATTGAAAGGGAGCTGAAGGGCACTAGGATGGACTGGGGAAGCATTGGGAGCACTGGGAGGGGATGAAGGGGAGTGGAAAGGCGTTGGAATAGAGTGGGGCGGACTGAAAAGGGGATGAAGGGCTCTGGGATAGACTGGGAAGGCACTGGGGGCTACTGGGAGGGGGATGAAGGGCACTGGGATGGACTGGGAGGGCATTGGAACAGAGTGGGGTGGATTGAAAGGGAGCTGAAGGGCACTGGGATAAACTGGGAAGGCGCTGAGAGGGGGATGAAAGGGACTGGAATGGACTGGAAAGACACTGGGGGCTACTGGGAGGGGTCTGAGCAGGACTGGGATGCACTGGGGGTGGACTGGAGCTGCCTCCCTCCCAGTACCCCCCCCTTCCCAACCCCCCCCCCAAGCTGAACTGGCCGAGGATGAGGTGGAAGATTTCCTGGCCGAGGTCATGGACAATGAGTTCGACACGGCTGTGGAGGACGGCAGCTTGCAGCAGGTACGGACCAGTATGGACCAGTATGGACCAGGAGGCTCCTAGTTCCTCCCCCCCCCCCCCCCCCAGGCTCTTCCAACCATCTTTTAGTGCTCCCAGTCCTCTCTCAGCCCCCCCCATCCCTTCCCGGTGTGCGCCAGTGCCTCCCAGTATAAACCAGTATAACCGGTAGCCTGCCGGTTCCTCACAAGAGGCGTTCAGGCCCTTCCTGAGTCGCTCCCAGTACAGCCCAGTGGATCCCCAGGTCCGCACTGCAGCGCTCCCATTCCCCTCCCAGTATAAACCAGTCTTCTCCCAGTCTCCCCACAGTATATTCCAGTCCCACCCCAGTATATCCTATCCCCTCCCATTATATCCCTGCTTTTGCAAGTAGATCCCATCCCAATTCCCACCTATGATTCCCTAGGCCTGTCACCCCAGTGCATCCCACTCCTCTCCCAGCATAGCCCAGTCCATTCCAGTGCCCTTCTCCTCTATCTCAGTTCCCTCCCAGGCCCCTCATAGCCCCTTCCAATGCCTCCCAGTCTATCCCAGTCCCCCCCAATGCCCTCCCAGTGTATCCCAGCCCTTTCCCATTCTATCCCAGCCCTATCCCAGTCTGTCCCAGTGCTATCCCTGTGCATCCCATTCTATCCCAGTCTATCCCAGCTCTTTCCCATTCTATCCCAGTCTATCCCAGCTCTATCCCAGCTCTATCCCAGCTCTATCCCAGCTCTATCCCAGTCTATCCCAGCTCTATCCCAGTCTATCCCAGCTCTATCCCAGCTCTATCCCAGTCTATCCCAGCTCTATCCCAGTCTGTCCCAGTCTATCCCAGCTCTATCCCAGTCTATCCCAGCTCTATCCCAGTCTATCCCAGTCTGTCCCAGTCTATCCCAGCTCTATCCCAGTCTATCCCAGTCTGTCCCAGTCTATCCCAGCTCTATCCCAGTCTATCCCAGCTCTATCCCAGTCTATCCCAGTCTGTCCCAGTCTATCCCAGCTCTATCCCAGTCTATCCCATTCTATCCCAGCTCTATCCCAGTCTATCCCAGTCTATCCCAGCTCAATCCCAGCTCTGTCCCAGCTCTATCCCAGTCAATCCCAGTCTATCCCAGCTCTATCCCAGTCTATCCCAGCTCTATCCCAGTCTATCCCAGTCTATCCCAGTCTGTCCCAGCTCTATCCCAGTCTATCCCAGCTCTATCCCAGTCTGTCCCAGCTCTATCCCAGCTCTATCCCAGTCTATCCCAGTCTGTCCCAGCTCTATCCCAGCTCTATCCCAGTCTATCCCAGTGTGTCCCAGCTCTATCCCAGTCTATCCCAGTCTGTCCCAGTCTATCCCAGTCTGTCCCAGCTCTATCCCAGTCTATCCCAGTCAATCCCAGTCTATCCCAGTCTGTCCCAGTCTATCCCAGTCAATCCCAGTCTGTCCCAGTCTATCCCAGCTCAATCCCAGTCTACCCCAGTCTATCCCAGCTCTATCCCAGTCTATCCCATTCTATCCCAGTCTATCCCATTCTATCCCAGTCTATCCCAGTCTATCCCAGCTCTATCCCAGTCTATCCCAGTCTATCCCAGTCTATCCCAGCTCTATCCCAGTGCCTGCCGTTGCCCCCAGGTGAGCCGGGAGCTGCTCTCTGTCTTCGCGCGGGTGCGGGAGGGGGACGTGGGGGGGGTGGGGGAGGCGCTGGCGGCCCTGGCCCGGCGTGGCCCCGCCCTCGCCTCTGCGCTGGCCAATGCGCGGCCTGGCCACGCCCCCGACCCCGCCCCCGCCCCACAAAGCACCGGGACCAGCAGCGAGGAGGAGGAGGAAGAGGTAAGGGGGGGTGATGACGTCATAGAATGAGCTGGGACACTATTGGTGGGTGTGCCTTGTGGTGATGATGTCATTGGGAGGGCACTGATGACGTCATTCACGGGGACCCCATGGTATATAGGGGGAATGGGTCCCCTGTGCTGCGTATGGGGTTGATGATGTCATCAAATGGGGCAGGGCATCGGGGGTTGCATGGGTGATGTCATTGAAGGGGGGGTACCCCAGTGGGGGGAGGGCAGTAATGACGTCATCCAACGGGAGACACACACTCCTAGGATGGGGGAGGGGCAGTGATGATGTCACCAAAGGGAGGGTGTCACTGATGATGTCACCAAAGGGGGTTGACACTGATGATGTCACAAAAGGGGTGCCATTGATGACGTCACTAAAGGGGTCACACTGATGACGTCACTAAAGGGGTCACACTGATGATGTCACAAAAGGGGTGACACTGATGACGTCACTAAAGGGGGTCACACTGATGACGTCACTAAAGGGGTCACACTGATGACGTCACTAAAGGGGTCACACTGATGATGTCACTAAAGGGGTCACAATGATGATGTCACTAAAGGGGTCACACTGATGACATCACTAGGGTCACACTGATGGCGTCACTAAAGGGGTCACACTGATGACGTCACTAAAGGGGTCACACTGATGACGTCACTAAAGGGGTCACACTGATGACGTCACTAAAGGGGGTCACACTGATGACGTCACTAAAGGGGTCACACTGATGACGTCACTAAAGGGGTGCCACTGATGATGTCACAAAAGGGGTCACACTGATGATGTCACAAAAGGAGTCACACTGATGACATCACTAAAGGGGTGCCGCTGATGATGTCACAAAAGGGGTCACACTGATGATGTCACTAAAGGGGTGCCACTGATGACGTCACAAAAGGGGTCACACTGATGATGTCACTAAAGGGGTCACACTGATGACGTCACTAAAGGGGTCACACTGATGACGTCACTAAAGGGGTCACACTGATGACGTCACTAAAGGGGTCACACTGATGATGTCATCTTTCCCCCCCAGGCAATGGAGTGCGGGACCCCCCCGGCCCCCCCCGATGGTTGGACCCTGGTGCGGAGGCGACGCCGATGAGGGGGGGGGGAATAAAGAGCCCCCGGTTGGGGGGTGCAAGGAGGCGTCGAGGGGGTTTTCTTGGGGGGGGACAGACCCTATAGAGACACCCCCCGCCCTATAGAGGCTCTGTAGCCCCATAGGGACTTCCCTGCACCTATAGAGTCCCCCTGGCCCCATAGAGACCCTGTGGTCCCTATAGAGCCCTCCCTGCCCCATGCAGTCCCTATGGCCCCATAGCGACCCCTGTGACTCTATAGAGGCTCTGTAGCCCCATAGGGACCCTTTTCCACCCTACATAGGCCTAACCCCATATGAACTCACGCAGCCCTATGGAGACCCTGTAGGGACACCCCGCCATACAGTCTATAGAGCCCTATAGGCTCCCCCCACCCCATAGGACCCCCCATGTCTCTATAGAGACCCCATTGCCCCATAAGAACTCCCCTGGCCCCACAGAGTCCCTATGGCCCCATATGAACTCACGCAGCCCTATGGAGACCCTATAGGGACAGCCCGCCATACAGTCTATAGAGCCCTATAGGCTCCCCCCACCCCATAGGACCCCCCATGTCTCTATAGAGACCCCATTGCCCCATAAGAACTCCCCTGGCCCCACAGAGTCCCTATGGCCCCATAAGGACCTCCCAGCCCTATATAGGACCTATATGTCCTTATAGACACTATATATGGGCACATCTCTACCCCATAAGGTCCCTATGGCCCCATAGGCCCCCCATAACCCCATAGACACCCCATAGAGTCTATATGGCCCCATGGAGACCCCCCTGACCCTATAGATGCTCTCCATGCGCCCCATAGAGGGGCTCTCTGCCAACCTCCCGTCCCCATAGCAACGGGGTGGGCGTGGCCTGCCGATGCGGGCTCCTATTGGCTGTCCTGCCCCCATCGGGCGCTGATTGGCCGCAGCCGCCGGGGTGGGCGGGGCGAGGCGGGCAGAGCGGGAAGAGGAACCGGCGGCGATGGCGGCGGCGCTGGAGCGCGCGCGGGGGTGAGCCCGCGGGCGGGAAATCACCTCAGCGCGGCCGCCATCTTGGCTGCGGGCCCATGGGGGTCACCGGGGGGGGGGCCGGGGCTTAATGGGGGTCCCAAAGGTGTCCCTATGGGGTCCGTGGGTCCTAATGGGGGTCCCAAAGGTGTTCCTATGGGGTCCGTGGGTCCCAATGGGGGTCCCAAAGGTGTCCCTATGGGGTCCGTGGGTCCTAATGGGGGTCCCAAAGGTGTCCCTATGGGGTCCGTGGGTCCTAATGGGGGTCCCAAAGGTGTCCCTATGGGGTCCGTGGGTCCCAATGGGGGTCCTTGGGGTGTCCCTATGGGGTCCGTGGGTCCTAATGGGGGTCCCAAAGGTGTCCCTATGGGGTCCGTGGGTCCTAATGGGGGTCCCAAAGACGTCCCTATGGGGTCCGTGGGTCCAAATGGGGGTCCCAAAGACGTCCCTATGGGGTCCGTGGGTCCTAATGGGGGTCCCAAAGGTGTCCCTATGGGGTCCGTGGGTCCTAATGGGGGTCCTTGGGGTGTCCCTATGGGGTCCGTGGGTCCTAATGGGGGTCCCAAAGGTGTCCCTATGGGGTCCGTGGGTCCTAATGGGGGTCCCAAAGGTGTCCTTATGGGGTCCGTGGGTCCTAATGGGGGTCCTAAAGGTGTCCTTATGGGGTCTGTGGGTCCTAATGGGGGTCCCAAAGGTGTTCCTATGGGGTCCGTGGGTCCTAATGGGGGTCCCAAAGGTGTTCCTATGGGGTCCGTGGGTCCCAATGGGGGTCCCAAAGGTGTCCCTATGGGGTCCGTGGGTCCTAATGGGGGTCCCAAAGGTGTCCCTATGGGGTCCGTGGGTCCTAATGGGGGTCCCAAAGGTGTCCCTATGGGGTCCGTGGGTCCCAATGGGGGTCCTTGGGGTGTCCCTATGGGGTCCGTGGGTCCTAATGGGGGTCCCAAAGGTGTCCCTATGGGGTCCGTGGGTCCTAATGGGGGTCCCAAAGACGTCCCTATGGGGTCCGTGGGTCCAAATGGGGGTCCCAAAGACGTCCCTATGGGGTCCGTGGGTCCTAATGGGGGTCCCAAAGGTGTCCCTATGGGGTCCGTGGGTCCTAATGGGGGTCCTTGGGGTGTCCCTATGGGGTCCGTGGGTCCTAATGGGGGTCCCAAAGGTGTCCCTATGGGGTCCGTGGGTCCTAATGGGGGTCCCAAAGGTGTCCTTATGGGGTCCGTGGGTCCTAATGGGGGTCCTAAAGGTGTCCTTATGGGGTCTGTGGGTCCTAATGGGGGTCCCAAAGGTGTTCCTATGGGGTCCGTGGGTCCCAATGGGGGTCCCAAAGGTGTCCCTATGGGGTCCGTGGGTCCTAATGGGGGTCCCAAAGGTGTCCCTATGGGGTCCGTGGGTCCTAATGGGGTCCTTGGGGTGTCCCTATGGGGTCCGTGGGTCCTAATGGGGGTCCCAAAGGTGTCCCTATGGGGTCCGTGGGTCCTAATGGGGGTCGTAAAGGGGTCCCTATGGGGTCCGTGGGTCCCAATGGGGGTCTTTGGGGTGTCCCTGTGGGGTCCGTGGGTCCCAATGGGGGTCCATAGGGTGTCCCTGTGGGGTCCATGGGTCCTAATGGGGGTCCCAAAGGGGTCCCTATGGGGTCCATGGGGCTCGTAGGGGGGAGTGGGGGGGGTGTCCGTGTCCTAATGGGGGTCCCAAAGGTGTCCCTATGGGGTCCGTGGGTCCTAATGGGGGTCCTAAAGGTGTCCCTATGGGGTCCGTGGGTCCTAATGGGGGTCCCAAAGGTGTCCCTATGGGGTCCGTGGGTCCTAATGGGGGTCCCAAAGGTGTCCCTATGGGGTCCGTGGGTCCCAATGGGGGTCCTTGGGCTGTCCCTATGGGGTCCGTGGGTCCTAATGGGGGTCCCAAAGGTGTCCCTATGGGGTCCGTGGGTCCTAATGGGGGTCCCAAAGGTGTCCCTATGGGGGCCGTGGGTCCCAATGGGGGTCCTTAGGGTGTCCCTATGGGGTCCGTGGGTCCTAATGGGGGTCCTAAAGGTGTCCCTATGGGGTCCTTGGGTCCCATTGAGGGTCCCCAGGGTGTCTCTATGGGGTCCATGGGTCCCAGTAGGGGTCCTTGGGGTGTCCCTATGGGGTCCGTGGGTCCTAATGGGGGTCCTAAAGGTGTCCCTATGGGGTCCGTGGGTCCTAATGGGGGTCCCAAAGGTGTCCCTAGGGGGTCCGTGGGTCCTAATGGGGGTCCCAAAGGTGTCCCTATGGGGTCTGTGGGTCCTAATGGGGGTCCTAAAGGTGTGCCTATGGGGTCCGTGGGTCCCAGTGGGGCTCTATGGGGTGTCCGCTCCTCCCCAAGGGGGTCCGTGGGTCCTAATGGGGGTCCCAAAGGGGTCCCTATGTGGTTCGTCGGTCCTAATGGGGGTCTTAAAGGTGTCCCTATGGGGTCCGTGGGGCTCGTAGAGGGGTAGTCCGCGCCCTAATGGGGGTCCTTGGGGTGTCCCTATGGGGTCCGTGGGTCCCAGTGGGGCTCTATGGGGTGTCCGCTCCTCCCCAGGGGGGTCCGGGTCCTAATGGGGGTCCATAGGGTGACCCTATGGGGTCCGTGGGTCCCAATGGGGCTCTATGGGGTGTCCGCTCCTCCCCAGGGGCGTCCGTGAGTCCTGATGGGGGTCCATAGGGTGACCCTATGGGGTCCGTGGATCCCAATGGGGGTCTTTGGGGTGTCCCTGTGGGGTCCATGGGTCCTAATGGGGGTCCCAAAGGTGTCCCTATGGGGTCCATGGGGCTCGTGGGGGGGGGGGGGAGTGTCCGGGTCCTAATGGGGGTCCCAAAGGTGTCCCTATGGAGTCCATGGGGCTCGTAGGGGGGTAGTCCGGGTCCTAATGGGGGTCCTTGGTGTGTCCCTATGGGGTCCGTGGGTCCCAGTGGGGCTCTATGGGGTGTCCGCTCCTCCCCAGGGGGGTCCGGGGTCCTAATGGGGGTCCATAGGGTGACCCTATGGGGTCCGTGGGTCCCAATGGGGGTCCTTGGGCTGTCCCTATGGGGTCCATGAGTCCCAATGGGGGTCCTTGAGGTGTCCCTATGGGGTCCTTGGGTCCCATTGAGGGTCCCCAGGGTGTCTCTATGGGGTCCATGGGTCCCATTGAGGGTCCCAAAGGTGTCCCTATGGGGTCCATGAGTCCCAATGGGGGTCCTTGGGCTGTCCCTATGGGGTCCATGAGTCCCAATGGGGGTCCTTGAGGTGTCCCTATGGGGTCCTTGGGTCCCATTGAGGGTCCCCAGGGTGTCTCTATGGGGTCCATGGGTCCCAGTAGGGGTCCTTGGGGTGTCCCTATGGGGTTTGTGGGTCCCAGTGGGGGTCCCCGTTGTGTCTCCAGGGTGCTGGTGGCTCTTGAGGCTGCCCTGGCCTTGGAGGAAGAGGACAGCGATGTCCCAGTCCCAGTCCTTGTGGAGCATCTGATGGTGAGACCCACGGCTGCCCCATAACTGCCCCCCCTGCGGCCACGGCTGCCCCATAGCACCTGTATTGGCCCCATGACTGCCCCACTGCAGCCACGTCTGCCCCATAGCACCCGTATTTGCCCCATGACTGCCCCCCTGCGGCCACGGCTGCCCCATAGCACCTGTATTTGCCCCATGTCTGCCCCATAGCACCTGTATTTGCTCCATATCTGCCCCTGTCACCCCATTTACCCCCGATAACTACCCCTGTCACCCCATTTCCTGCCCATATTTGCCCCTGTTACCCCATTTCCCCCCCATATTTGCCCGTTACCCCATTTCCCCCCATATCTGCCCCCCATTTACCCCCATATCTTCCCCTGTCATCCCATTTCCCCCCCGTATCTTCCCCTGTCACCCCATTTCCCCCCCATATCTGCCCCCCATTTCTCCCTCATAACTACCCCATTTCCCCCCCATATCTGCCCCCATTTCCCCCCATATCTGCCCACATTTCCCCCCCATATCTCCTCTGTCACCCCATTCCCCCCCATATCTGCCCCCATTTCCCCCCTATAACTACCCCGTCACCCCATATTTGCCCCTCATTTCCCCCATATCTGCCCCGCATTTCCCCCCATATCTGCCCCCATTTCCCACCCATACCTTCCCCTGTCAACCCATATCTGCCCCCCATAACTACCCCATTTCCCCCCATATCTGCCCCCATTTCCCCCCATTTCCCCCATTTCCCCCATATTGCCCCCATTTCCTTCCCCCATAACCCCCATATCTGCCCCCCATTAACCCCCATTTCTCCCCCCATTAACCTCCATTAACCCCATTTCCCCCCCGTTCCCCCCATTCCCCCCCATAACTACCCCATTACCCCCCATGTCTGCCCCCATTTCCCCCCATAACTTCCCCATTCCCCCCCATATCTGCCCCCATTGCCCCCCATTTCCCCCCATAACTACCCCATTTCCCCCATTCTCCCCCATTCCCCCCATTAACCCCCATTTCCCCCGTTAACCTCCATTAACCCCATTTCCCCCCCATTAACCCCCATTTCCCCCATTAACCCCATTTCCCCCCATTTCCCCCCATTAACCTCCATTAACCCCATTTCCCCCCATTACCCCCCATTTCCCCCCCATCACCCCATTGCCCCCCATTGCCCCCCATTTCCCCCCATAACCCCCCATTCCCCTATCAACCCCATCACCCCCCATTCCCCCCCATTCCCCCCTTCCCCCCATTGCCCCCCATTGCCCCCCCATTTCCCCCCATAACTACCCCATTCCCCCCATCTCCCCCCATCCCCCCCATTTCCCCCCCATAACTACCCCATTTCCCCCATATTCCCCCCATTAACCCCCATTAACCCCCATAACTACCCCATTTCCCCTCCATATCTGCCTCCATTTCCCCCCCATAACTACCCCATTTCCCCCCCATATCTGCCCCCCATAACTACCCCATTTCCCCCCCATATCTGCCCCCATTCCCCCCCCATAACTACCCCATATCTGCCCCCACATCTGCCCCCATTGCCCCCCATTTCCCCCCATAACTACCCCATTCCCCCCTATATCTGCCCCCATTGCCCCCCATTTCCCCCCATAACTACCCCATTTCCCCCCATATCTGCCCCCCATTTCCCCCCCATAACTACCCCATTTCCCCCCATATCTGCCCCCATTTCCCCCCCATAACTACCCCATTTCCCCCCCATATCTGCCCCCATTTCCCCCCATAACTACCCCATTTCCCCCCATATCTGCCCCCCATTTCCCCCCCATAACTACCCCATTTCCCCCCATATCTGCCCCCATTGCCCCCCATATCTGCCCCATATCTGCCCCCATATCTGCCCCCATTGCCCCCCATATCTGCCCCCCAGGACACCCGTCGGAAGCAGAAGCTGCTCCTGGCCCAGCTGCGGGTCCTGCAGCTCCTCCTGGGGCTGGTTGAGAGCCCGGGCCCCCCCCTGCCCCCCCCCCGCCTGCGTGTGTCCGTCCGTGCCCCCCCCCCCCCCCCGGCGGGTCCTTTCATGGGGGCGGTCCGCGAGGCTGCCCCCTGCTGGCCGGGAGGTGCGTGCTCATCAGAGCGCCCCCTGCAGGAGAGGCGGTCTCAGAGGCGCGGGGCCGCTGGCAGGAGCTGAAGCGTGGCTATGGGGGGGCCGTGGAGGCGCTGGGGGGGGCCCTGCCCTCGGCCCTGGCCCAGCTCGAGAAGGGGCAGCGGCTGCTGCAGAGGCTGCGGGGGGCCCTGGAGGGGGCCCGCGAGCGACAGGTATGGGGAGATGTGGGGCTGGGGGGGGGGGGGTCCTATGGGTGCTATGGGGCATGGAATGGGGGCTGGGGGGGGATATGGGGGTGCTATAGGGTATGTATGGCTGCTGGGGGGGGATATGGGGTATGACATGGGTGCTGGGGGGGGGATATGGGGGGGATATGGGGTATGACATGGGTGCTGGGGGGGGATATGGGGGTGCTATAGGGTATGACATGGCTGCTGGGGGGGGATATGGGGGTGCTATAGGGTATGACGTGGCTGCTGGGGGGGGATATGGGGGGGATATGTATGACATGGGTGCTGGGGGGGGATATGGGGGGGATATGGAGTATGACATGGGTGCTGGGGGAGGATATGGGAGGGATATGGGGTATGACATGGGTGCTGGGGGAGGATATGGGAGGGATATGGGTGCTATGGGGTATAATGTGTGCTGGGGGGGATATGGGGTATGACATGGGTGCTGGGGGGGGGATATGGGGGTGCTATAGGGT